GTGACCCGTTTAGTTGCCAGGTCAGCTGTAGTAAATTCAACGTTACGAGTTATCATAACAAGGGGTTGTTGCTATGCCTTTGATATTCCATCCATTTTGGCGGCAGGAGATGTCGTAGGGGTGACCACAGAATTCATGAAGTTATTCTAAGAACTGTCTGGTATGTAGTGAACGAAAGTAGAGCTTAGCTGGCTCAAAAAAATATTTATGGTCATCCCTCGAAACGACCACCAAGGTCAGTACGATAAAATGGAGTCAACTGGAGCGATAATACATGAAGGAATGAGTTCTTTTCCCTCCCCCACACACATCCGTATCGTCTCAGGGGGTGACCACAGTGTTCTGCCTTAAATTGTGGCGTTTTTCTAAGAAATGGGTGCTATGTACTGTGCGAAAGCAATCGATTTTGCAAGCATAAATTTTTGTACATCCTTCTTCTAAGAATTCCAATTGAGTGTGTTAATGTGGCCAGCTCAGGGCAATATGATATCATAAACACCAGGCCATATCACTCTCTGCTGTTTATAGCTTCAGAGCAAAGAAAACAAATCATTCATAACAGAAACAGCTCGCAATAGCCACAGGAACGTTGCTGCAAAACAGGCATATGTAACAACGACTTAGCGCTCTTAAACGCGTGTGTCATTAAATACAGTCCTCCTAACAACAGGCCAGTGAAAAATCTAACAATCTACAGCAAAACCATCAATTATTATGGGCGTTATAACATATGTGTGCAGCTGGACGAAACATACACGTCGAACCCCCCCAGACGATGACGAAACATACACGTCAAACCACGGCAACGGGTTAACCATTGAAGATGGTGTACAAAGAGCCTATTCTGATTGAAAACCATTTCAAGCTGTTCGAGTTTCTCTGAAATCTTGCATTTGCTTGAATATTACATAAACATGGTTCCCTCAACTGTAGTAAACTGAGACCACTTGCTAGAGCTAAGTTATGTGTGTGATTTGCTTCGACAGTTTCTGCTTTGAGGGTAGCTTGCCATGTCTCCAAAATCATGTGTGCACTGCCTCCACCCAGTAATTCCAGCTGTCTATTTTCTGGGGTTAGCAAACTCAGTTTCAAATCTAGGACCTTTCCTGACTACAGTAACTGCAAGGCATGTGGAAAGGAAGTTTATTCTTTTGTACTGTGTTTGCTATAGTACCCATTCCTAACTCTTGCATTTCAGACCTGTGTCCTTGAGTGATTTGGAGTCCCTGGATGGAGAATTTCATCAGAGTTTGCTATGGATCAAAGAAAATGACATATCTAGTGATTTACTGGACCTCACATTTGCTGTCACCGAAGAACTCTTTGGTCAGGTGGTGGAACGAGAATTGAAACCAGGTGGCAGAAATATCAGTGTTAATGAAAAGAATAAAAAGGTACACATCTGAACACATCTTATAATTTCTGTGCTGAAGAATTGGTGGAGTATGCAAAGTATTGCTGTTAATGGTGCCTGGGCTTCCAAAAATATTGTTACAGAGATTTGTTTGCTTCCTCTCTGAATTTCAAAATCTGAATAAGAAATCTGTATACTTCAAAAGCAGGAACCATTAAATATGGGTGGCTTACTTTATTCATATAGATTGTAGCATCATGTAACAAAACTTTCTGCCTAGTGATAGTGGGGCAGGTCTGAATTATACCTTACTCAGATTTCCATACTTTCATCCTATTCTCTGCTATGCCCAGTCAAATTGAGTCACTTTTTTTGATCAGTGGTCCAGTTCTGGTCAAGTTATCTGATGTTTACTAGTGTAGGAAACCTGGATAGTGAAATTATTTCCTTCAGTCTGAATTTGAGGTAGATGAAAGTGAGTGTTTGGCATTGAAACTAGGTAAGGATAGAATTGAGAAGATCTCAGGACCACATCCAAATATTGAAGGTGGGGTTTTTGTTTGTTTTTATAAACCTAATAATTGAAATTGGGGTAGAGTAGAAGACTGGTTTCTGGTATCCCATGGCCATTCACTAGTCCCCAGATCAGTCCTTCAGTGCTCTGGTTTTTTCACTGTGGCGGCTTTGTTAGGAATTTCCTGATGGTCGTCTGCAGCCTCTGTTTATTCTGGATTTGCCTCCAAACCCATAGCCTTCACTTCTAGGCCAGTCTGAATTTCAGTATTTTTTTATTCATGATCAGTCTCTAACTTGGCCTCTGTCTTTCCTAGACAGGCCTCCATTGCTTCTCAGCAGGTCTTCATCTGTTCATGCCAGGTATCCATCCAGGAGTGAGATCATGTATTCAGGTTTTCATTTCCTTTTTACTGGTCAACATATTTTCTTGAAGGACCTCCAACTTCTCACTACTGGCCTCTGTCTTGGCTTCTTTCCTTCCTTGGTTGGTTTTCATTTTAGCCATGATGGCTACCAAATGTTCCAAATCTGTCATAATTCTCCATCTCGTGGATTCAAATTTGATGGTTCACAATTCACCATGTTCAACAATCAGAGTTAAAGAATTATCTACATGCTCATTCCTTCTACTCTTTAGATGAATACTTCAATGTAAATAGAGAATGATGTAAAATTAAGTTATATTAATTTTTAAGCTAAAATTGCCTGTACTTATGTATGTAACCTTTTGACATGTTTTGTATCCAAAGGTACTAACCTGCTTAGGATTTATAGAATGTAAATAAATTCAATTCAATTCAGTCCAGTCCAATAATCCCTCTTCTGACACCAGTTATCACTTGGTAAGTGTGACTGTAGACAGGGTTTGGATTGGTAATTGGATTTGTTGGGCACTGAACACTCATAACTACAGATGACTAGACAGTCTCACTGGGTTACACACTATAAAGATTGCTGTAACTGCAGCACACATAAAGTTTTTTCAGTCTTCATTGGTTGTTGCTTGGTAGCAGCTTCCAGTGGTGGATGTTCCCCTTCATTTGGGTTCCTGAACTGTCCCTGGCCTCAACTACTAGCTTCTCACATCTCACATCTGCAACTCCCAACTAAACTACTAGTCCTCATTATATGGCGCTGGCACAAACAGCCCAGGAAGCGTCTTTTTCATTATTGTGCGTTCTCATGTTTCTGGGAAAACTGTGTTCACAGAGCTCTTCCCTAGCAATGGCTGTTGTACTGTCACTTGTTTACACAGATGCTATTTAGCAGTGGGTCTGCATGTTGGTATATACACAGTGATATATCAGAGTGTGACTGTAGATGGATTTTGGATTGATGACTTTGAAACAGCACATGACTACACTTATGCACTAGTGTCCACTGTTGAGTCTTCATTGCTGTTGCTTGGTAACAGCTTCTGGTGGTGGATGTTCTCCTTCCTCTGAGTTACTGAACTGTCCCTGGCCTCAGCTACCAGCTTGTGACAGCAACAGCTTACAACTACTGAACTCCAGCAGTTCCCTGACCTGACTGCAACTGCGAACATGTACTGGTTATAGCACCTCGACACAGACTATGTAGGAAACATCTCTTTCTTTATTGCTGGGTTCTCTCGCTGTGGAAACATGCTTGTTTGCAGAGCTGTTACTTAGCAGTGACTATTGTATAGTTGCTTGTTTCATGGTTGTTACCTAGCAACAGGTCTAAATGCCACTATATATTAACTCTTTCACTGCTAGTATGTTAAGTAACTCTCAGTACCCTCTGTACCAAATTATTTTTTAATAAATCTTTTATAAATAATTTAAGTGCAAGTATGAACATTTATGATAAAATGTAGCTAATCTTACCTCAGACAGGGTACAGGCATCAGAAGTTGCGAAAATGTTGAATTGTTCAGTATTTTTCACAAGGGAAAAGTCCATTTAAATCAGTTTTGTCCAAGATGGCCAAAAAAGTACATAATTCACTATCCTAGACTTATCACTATGTCACATGTTGAATGAAGTCCACAACCTTATTTAAAACTATTATAGAAAGCACCGCACTCTATACGAAGCCATTTTTACTAGCCTTGTGAAATACTCGCGTCACATGACCACAGAGCGTGTGCCTCGCTATACAGATGCAACCTTTTACATTTCTTAAGCTAGAGGGCAGAAGAATGCAGCCATCGAAATGAATGATGCTTCATTACATTCCCAATTGATGACTCTATGCACCCGCCAAGTTTGAATGAGATTGGTGCAAAGAAACCTGAGATTTGAAACTCTAAAATCGCAATATGGGTTTTGTCGATCACAGCAAGGACCCCATGTTGTTCAGAGATCGACATATGTGGACCACAGTAGTGTAAGGGTTAATATCATGTGATGAAAATGCTGATTAAAGTAAACAAATAATAATTTACATGAGGGTTATATATTTTATTTCTTTGTGTGGTGATTACAGGAATATCTTGAGCGAGTGGTTCGATGGCGGCTGGAGCGAGGTGTTGCAGACCAGACAGAGTCACTTGTGAGGGGTTTCTATGAGGTGGTGGATCCTCGCCTAGTGTCTGTTTTTGATGCCCGTGAATTGGAATTGGTTATTGCAGGCACAGCAGAGATAGATCTGTCAGACTGGAGGAAGAACACAGAGTACCGATCAGGTTAGATTCCAGTCAGTTTTGCAGTATAAACAACCAGGACACATGTTTATATTAAATTTGCTATTTCATGTCAAAGCACAAGGTATATAGGCTTTAAATGTTCTTATATTATTGTTTCTGTTGTCTCTGAATTTCTTCTGCACGTAAGAAAATACTGCAGTTACATGTTATACATTTAGGTACATTAAACAGGATTATATGTGGCATGTCCGCTGAAAGCCAGAAGAAATGATTGTTACTAAGTTATGGCACAATAAATGCTACGTCACCATAACAAAAATTATGCATGCCAACAACAGAGGGACTGTGGGTCTGTACAGAGAATATATCTGGAGAACTGGAACACAGCAAGGGTTCAGCTGAAAAAAAAAAAAAACTCTTGTCATCGTCAAGGTTTGACACCAAGATGAACTGATTGGCAGTAAACTGCCAGTTATAAGTGAGTCTGAGTCTGAGGTGAGTCAGTCGAGAGCTGTGTAGATTTCAAGCCTGAAGCTCTTCACAGATAGTTGCCCTCATTGTTGTAAGCTGTTGCATAGCAATGCTGAGTCTAGTTGTGAGATAGGCAACAGTTAGCGAGGACCAGAGCCATGGAATACAGAAGCTGAGGAAGCTACAGCATTGGAAACCATTACCAGACAACCAGTGAAGACTTTAATACATACTGTAGTGAACTGTAAAATGTGTGATTTAGCAGTAGTGCTATGGTTACTTGTACACCTGTAGTTATGATCTGTAAGTGTTCAGTAAATACAGTTACCAATCCAAACCCTGTCTGTTGTCACTTGAATGTGTGACAATGTTTTATCATTTGCTGCACAACACATTCTTTCCAAATTTTTGATTTAGTTCAGAAATATAAGATTTGGTATACACAGTATGGCCAGGATCCATTTGGACTCATTTTTTTTTTTTTTATTTTGTCCTGCAGGGCCATCTGTTGGCGACTTATGTCGTTAAGATTCTTGAAGTTTCAGCTGTGGCTGTCTATACTTTCAAAGCGCAAGCATCGCTGCATCATGTGTTCTGACCTTGAATGTAACAGTACTGTTCTGACACTCGTCGGAAAATGGCGGTTGAACAGAGAGCCAACATCAAATTTTGTTTGAAGTTAGGCAAAACAGCCAGAGAAGCATACAAAATGATGAAAAGTGTGTATGGTAGCGATTGTTTTAGTTGCTGGAACATTTTTCGAGGGTGTGTTGTATTTTGTGATGGAAGTGAAGACATTGAAGACACTCCATGTGCATCAGAGTCAAGAACAAGTCGCACTGAAGAAAATGTGAAAAAAGTGACTGAAATCCTTGCATCAGACAGATGTGTTTCTGCAAGACTCATTGAGAAGCTTTTCGGAATACCAAGAAGTACTGTGCATCAAATTTTGACCAAGGATTTGGGCAAACGGAAGGTCTGTGTGCAGCTTGTACCGCACGCGCTGTCAGGTGATGACAAACATGCCAGGCCAGAGTGGAACGCTGCAAAGACATGTTACGGTCGGCCCAAAGTGATACCAAATTTACAAAATCGATTGTTACTGGTGACGAGACATGGCGTTTTCAATATGAGCCTCTCACAAAGTGGCAGAGTGGAGCATGGTTGAGCCCAAAGAAGCCGAAACCAAAGAAAGTGTGCATGCAAAAGAGTCGAGTAAAGACACTGCTAACCATTTTCTTCGATTCCAAAAGAACCATTCATAAGGAATTTCTGCCAGAAGGTCAAACAATGAATTATGATTATTATATCGGAGTCCTCAATCGTTTGTGGGCGAGAATTCTTCGAATTTGACCTGAATATCGAGAACAAGGTTCCTGGTCGCTCCTCCACAACAATACCCCACCCCACAAATCGAAGATCGTGTGCAATTTTTTGGTCAGAAAAGGGAACACAGACCTTGATCATCCTCCGTATTCGCCAGATTTGGCTCCAGCGGATTTCTGGTTGTTCCCAAAAGTTAAGTTGGCGATGAAAGGAAACCATCTCGACACCATCCAGGACATCGAAAGGGAATGTACCACAGTTTTAAATGCGATTCCACAAAAGGAGTACAGTGTCTGTTTTCGAAAACTTTTCAATCGATTCCAGCTATGTATTGATTCAGAAGGAGACTGTTTTGAATAAAAAGAGTGAAATTTTGAAAATAATTCACGTCTTATATTTTTAATGAACACAGTTCTAACAGAACCTGGACACACTGGTATAGTTGTTCCATTCTTTGATGTCACAGAGATTATTAAAAAAACTGGCCTAGCAAAGGTTTTTATTTTGAGCATCATGTATGAAGGCAAAATAAGAGTGTCTGTTGCTGTTAGAAGCTGGTCACCTTGCTGCAGCTAAACTGTATTGACAGATATGATCATATCATACAGCATCATCATAGCATGGAAATCTTATATTAACGTCATTTCAGATAAACAGTAAATTCTGTATTTTGATATGAGTGTTTCCTTATCTTTCAAATGCTGAAAGTGGTGTTAAGGTTTTAGTGCTGTCAGACAACAGTGTTTTGATTATTATGTAATAAAGTGATTGCTAATATTATATTTAAGCATCCTGTTGCACTCTATACAATAAATGATATTAACTCCGTCCTAAGTGCATACAATATATTATATGTCTTTGATCTTGCTCTCCTTTACACTACATGTTTCAGCCTCAAACGGCCATCATCAGGTGTATACACTCACGTTGCTGTTACACCGCACTTAGTTTAAAATTTAACATTTAAAAACACACTGTTCCTTTCGTTGTTATTATCAACATCTACTTCGTTGATATCTGTCTGGTTTATAGATTATTTTTGTTACACACGTTAATTTTTATTTCCCTGAATTAGCACTTATAAAAATCTTTAGTTCTAATTTTAAAATCCTTTAAAATTGTTCTCTAAATTTTAAAATTTAAAATTCTCAGGGTTACTCACCCTATGTCTATAGTGCTACAGTGGCTAGTTCTTGTTTCCAGCACTGTACAGGTGTTATCTGTAATATACAAATATTCATATTATTATCTTATGTACATAATGTTTTGTTATGTGTTTATGTTGTTATTTGTACTTACTCTGTGTAGTCTCCCTGTGTGCGTGCCGCTGCGATTCTTTACTACGTGTGCTGTCTGATGTATTGTGTGCTTTGTTTTATGTTGGTGAGTGTAGGGGGGGATGGGTAGTGGGGAGAGGGAGGTGCCGTTAGTCTGTATAGATTTCGTGTATCNGATCATATCATACAGCATCATCATAGCATGGAAATCTTATATTAACGTCATTTCAGATAAACAGTAAATTCTGTATTTTGATATGAGTGTTTCCTTATCTTTCAAATGCTGAAAGTGGTGTTAAGGTTTTAGTGCTGTCAGACAACAGTGTTTTGATTATTATGTAATAAAGTGATTGCTAATATTATATTTAAGCATCCTGTTGCACTCTATACAATAAATGATATTAACTCCGTCCTAAGTGCATACAATATATTATATGTCTTTGATCTTGCTCTCCTTTACACTACATGTTTCAGCCTCAAACGGCCATCATCAGGTGTATACACTCATGTTGCTGTTACACCGCACTTAGTTTAAAATTTAACATTTAAAAACACACTGTTCCTTTCGTTGTTATTATCAACATCTACTTCGTTGATATCTGTCTGGTTTATAGATTATTTTTGTTACACACGTTAATTTTTATTTCCCTGAATTAGCACTTATAAAAATCTTTAGTTCTAATTTTAAAATCCTTTAAAATTGTTCTCTAAATTTTAAAATTTAAAATTCTCAGGGTTACTCACCCTATGTCTATAGTGCTACAGTGGCTAGTTCTTGTTTCCAGCACTGTACAGGTGTTATCTGTAATATACAAATATTCATATTATTATCTTATGTACATAATGTTTTGTTATGTGTTTATGTTGTTATTTGTACTTACTCTGTGTAGTCTCCCTGTGTGCGTGCCGCTGCGATTCTTTACTACGTGTGCTGTCTGATGTATTGTGTGCTTTGTTTTATGTTGGTGAGTGTAGGGGGGGATGGGTAGTGGGGAGAGGGAGGTGCCGTTAGTCTGTATAGATTTCGTGTATCATTTGAAATAAGGGATTGTGTGTTTCTGTGTGTGTGTCATTCATGTGTAGGCCTTTCTTACTTATTTTATATGTATGGTATTTCTCTAATGTATTCAAATGTCTGCCCTTCTTTCCCGTTGTTAGAAATTCCATTACCTCTGTTATTTTTCTGTATGCATGTCCTGTATTTAGTATATGATTTGAGTACCCAGAATTGCTATCATTATTTCTAATATCATGTATATGTTCTTTATATCTGGTGTTAAATATTCTGCCNCGTTGCTGTTACACCGCACTTAGTTTAAAATTTAACATTTAAAAACACACTGTTCCTTTCGTTGTTATTATCAACATCTACTTCGTTGATATCTGTCTGGTTTATAGATTATTTTTGTTACACACGTTAATTTTTATTTCCCTGAATTAGCACTTATAAAAATCTTTAGTTCTAATTTTAAAATCCTTTAAAATTGTTCTCTAAATTTTAAAATTTAAAATTGTCAGGGTTACTCGCCCTGTCTATAGTGCTGCAGCGGCTAGTTCTTGTTTCCAGCACTGTACAGGTGTTATTCTGTGTAGTCTCCCTGTGTGCATGCCGCTGCGATTCTTTACTACGTGTGCTGGTGCTGGTGAATCACAGCGGCACGCACATATGGAGACTACACAGAATAACACCTGTGCAGTGCTGGA